ATCATGTTGATAAATCAAAGATACATGTTAATCTGCTTAAAGGACCACTCTAGGCACCCAGACCACTTCAGCTTAATGAAGTGGTCTGGGTGCCAGGTCCAGCTAGGGTTAACCCATTGCTATGTTTATGAATGGGTTAAGCCTTCCCCTAATCCTCTAGTGGCTGTCTCATTGACAGCCACTAGAAGCGCTTGCGTGCTTCTCACTGTGATTTTCACAGTGAGAGCGCGCCAGCGTCCATAGGAAAGCATTATGAATGCTTTCCTATGTGACCGGCTGAATGCGCGCGCAGCTCTTGCCGCGCGTGCGCATTCAGCCGACAGGGAGGAGAGAAGGAGGATCGGAGGAGGAGAGCTCCCCGCCCAGCGCTGGTAAAAGGTAAGTTTAAACCCCTTTCCCCCTTCCAGAGCCGGGCGGGAGGGGGTCCCTGAGGGTGGGGGCACCCTCAGGGCACTATAGTGCCTTGGAAAACGAGTATGTTTTCCTGGCACTATAGTGGTCCTTTAAAGAGTAAAAATGTCTTCCATTAGAAAAGCTCATTTTTAATCTTTCACTTAAAGAAGGTGATATTCTAATTATTCTACCCTTGTATCACTGCGGCATTGTTACACTGATAGGAGGAAGCACAGGTTAAAGGAGTCTCAGGTGGACCTGTCTTCAATAATTCCCAGCCAATCAAGGCAGCATCATTAAAATAAAACCCTAGTTATAGGAACGTTTTTAACTTTACTTTTTGTAGATGAAATTTCTTTTCACAGTAGTTTAGAATTTATAATGTGGTTATAGTGACATCTAGTGTTATTATGTGGAAGTGAATCCGACGGTCAAATAATCTCAGGTTAAATGTAAACAGCACTGATAACCAAGTCTAAACAACGCAATCACCGTCACTTCTCTGCCTGAAGAAGTGGTTTTATCAGAGTCCATACAGATGTTCAAACAGCTACTAGATGCATACTTGCAAAAGCAGAATATTCAAGGATATAATCTTTCAATGTAGGGTAATAACTGCTTGATCCAAGGATAAATCTGACTGCCATTCTGGGATCAAGAAGGATATTTTTTTTCCTAGTTTGTTGCAAAATTGGAAGTGCTTCAAACTGGGTGGGGGTTTGCCTTCTTTTGGATCAACAGCAAAAAACAAATGTGAGGAAGGCTGAACTTGATGGACGCAAGTCTCTTTTCAGCTAGGTAACTATGTAACTATGACGATTTCTACATAATACCCTGTGGCTTTGATGTAAAAACAGATCTGGGACAGAACATGGAATCTCAGGGATTATCTGGAAAACAGATTATTAATAAAACAACAAACTGGATACATTGGTCATTTTATGGATGTATGAAACATTTTCAAGCAGCTGGACCGTCCTCCTTTGGTCTCAATTTAATATTTTTGGATAAGCGTTCCAAATGATTTACCGTTATTCACTTGGGTTAAACTTTTATCTTATATAAAAATATGTATAAAAAATATCTAAATCTTCAATATTTAAATATTTTTGATGACATTAAATCATTTTAAACGTTTATCCAAAAACATTAGATAATTTTTAAGGTATACCCAAAAATACTAAATTGATTACGGTACTTCATTAGGTAGGGAATGGAAAGTAAGGAGCAAGACGTGGAATGGAGGACATGGGGCGGAGGCAGCAGGGCTGCGCATACTGTTCAGGTGGTCTGGTAGTGTTCCAGAGAAGTGGTTGTGAACCTGACAAGAATGGCAAAGAGTATGTATCATCACATTCCCGTACGAACAGACTCCTTGATGGAATCAACATTCATTAACTTTCTGCTGATCTCAAGTCACTCTTGCCCATCTCTAATATCTCCTGTCCTCAGGGCCGGCGCTACCTGTAAGTCGACCTAGGCAGCCGCCTAGGGTGCAAGTTAGCAGGTGGCGCCGGAGCCCTTTATCCCGGAATCACTGGTGCGGCTCCTCATGCTGCGCCACCTGAGCACTTTACCAAGCCTCAGGCGGCGCAGCACTGCTGTATGGAGGGCAGCCGGATTTGAGTGACCGGCAGGAGGGAAGCGCAGAGCTCCTGCCGGTCTCTCAATGTAGCGTTGCCGGGCGGCACGGAACGCAGGACAAGAACTTCTGTTTCCTGCACCCGGCCGCCGGTGGACTGACAGGAAGTGCTCACTCAGTGAATTCCTTTTTTTCGCTGCCCAGCCACACTACATAGGCAGGAAGGAAGATGAGGGTAAGGACCACTGGGAGAAGGGGAGGGGAGTAAGGACCACTGGGGGAGAGGGGAGGAGTAAGAACCACCGGGGGAGGGTGGGTAGGAAGGAAGGACCACTGGGGGAGGGTGAGTGAGCTCAGTGAGTGCTTACCTTCAGTCCGCCGGTGGCCCGGTACAGGAAACAGAAGTTCCTGTACTGCGGTTTGCGCTGCCCAGCCATGCTACATAGGCACTGGGGGAGAGGGGGGAGTAAGGACCACTGGGGGAGGGGGAGTAAGGACCACTGAGGAAGAGGGAGGGAGGGGAGTAATGACCACTGAGGGAGAGGGTGGGGGGAGTAAGGACCACTGATGGAGAGGGAGGGGGGAGTAAGAACCACTGGGGGAGAGGGGAGGAGCAAGAACCACCGGGAGGGCAGGTGGGCAGAAGGAAGGACCACTGGGGAGGGTGAGTGAGCCCAGTGAGTGCTTACCTTCAGTCCGGCCGGTGGTCTGCACAGGAAACAGAAGTTCCTGTACTGCGGTTTGGCGCTGCCCAGCCATGCCAAGCACAGGTGGCAGGGAGGGAAGAGGAGGGTAAGGACCACTGGGGAAGGGAGGGGAGTAAGGACCACTGGGGAAGGAGAGTGGGAGTAAGGACCACTGAGGGAGAGGGAGGGGGAGTAAGGACCACTGAGAGGGAGGGAGGGGGAGTAAAGACCACTGAGGGAGAGGGAGGGGGGAGTAAGGACCACTGGGGGAGGGGAGGG